GTTATCACTCTCTTGTTCCATAAGGATGACATATGGGAAGAAAAGTTATGGGTAAACATCATCTTCCAGAAAGAAATAACTTGTTTGTGGAAACTAGCTAATTTTATAGGAATTTTACCAATTTCAAAGTCACAGCTAGTGAACAGCTAGTTTTGGATGTCAACAACAAACTGGTTGATCCACTATGATAAGGGGCTAGTTATAAAACTGAGCTTACTGCAGCTCCTCAGACTGATGAAGTATTTTGGATTAAAGACGACATGTTTCAACAAGTTTTTCTTGTCTTTTTTTTATCTGTCTAGTATGGAACACCAAAATGCTCAAAATTAAATAAATAAATAAAACATTATGAAATAAAAAATGTTGTCATTTGTATTCGTTTATTTCATAATTGTGTTTTCCACGATAGCTTATTTATTTCATAATGACCCTTTTCAGCAGAATGACTTCAGCTGTCAATCAGCGTCAGTGGGTTGGACCTTCACGCCCACTGGCCGAGCCTTCACATCTGCTGCTAGTATCATTCAGGATGCTAACGATCCATTGTTAGGCTGATGATCCTCCTTGATCATGTGAACAGCTAGTTGTGGATGTCAACAACAAACTGGTTGATCCACTAAATGGACTGTACTTATATAGCGCCTTTCTATCTTATCGAGATACTCAAAGCTCTTTACAACAAACAATCTGTGCCTCATGTACCCATTCATACAGCACTCTACTAGATCTCTACAAAGATAATTGAACAAATCATTCTAAAGAGACTAATCAGAGCTTTAGATCACATTCATACACTGATGGGACACACATCAGAGGCAACGAGGGGTTCAGTGTCTTGCCCAGGGACACTTCGGCATGTGACTGCTGGTGGATTCGAACCGAGGACGACTGCTCTAACCACTCAGCCACAGCCTCTCACGAGGGAGAGAGTGCTATTTATAAGGCTGAGCTGAATACAGCTCCTCAGACTGAAGAAGTCTTTCAGACTCTTGACAATTATTTGTTTGCTCTAAATTATAAATTATATCTAAATTATTAGCTCTAAATTATGTTTGTGAGTGAGCAGGTATTCACGAAAACTACTGGATGTGAAGCCAGTGGGTGTGCTGGTCCAACTGACTGATGTTGATTGACAGCTCAAGTCATTCTGTTGAAAAGTAGCATTATGAAATACATAAGTCGTTATGAAAAATGCCATTATGAAATAAATAAGCTGTCATAAACAAACATAATTATGAAATAAATAAGCCATGAAAAACACAATTATGAAATAAAAGAATAAAATTATTATTATTTTATTTTATTTGTTTTTTTTTATAATAATGAGCTTAGATACTTCCTAATGCTTTATTTATTTATTTATTTAATTTTGAGCATTTTGGTGTTCCATAGTCCAGGGGACCTGACTTAACTTTGTTAGATGGTCAAATATGGTTTAAAGACTTCTCCACACCTCTCTGGTGTTGGTTTGTTGAAGGCATTCCTCCAACTTCCTCCTGTAGCTGTCATTTCCCTTCCCAGTCTCCAGTTTTACCTACTGGTACTTTTCAGATCTTTTTTATTTCCTGATCTTAAAGCCCTTTCTTTTTATTTAGCAAAGCTTTCTTCTACATGGGTCATTCAGGGCTTGTTGTTAAAGAAAAAAACATACCTTCCTGATTGTACGGTATTTCTTAACACAAAAATTAATATAGTCCATGATGCAGTCCCTCTCTGAGCGGGTGATGTACACAATGTTCTCTATAATGGGCTACAACTCCTCTCTTCTACTTACTGCTCTCTGCCACTTTTACAGATGTTTAACCAGTAGTGTCAACACTGTTTGTTAGCAAAACGTCTGACAAGTCACTGAACCATTTTTAATTAAACTTTCAAAAAGCTATCATTATTGATATCAGTAATATTATCATTATTATTATTATTATTAATAATTATTAATTTTTAACGTTTATTTAACCAGACAAATTCCATTGAGTTCACAGATCTCTTTTGCAAGGGAGGCCTGGAGACTGCCTAAACATGAACGTTTTTACACTGTGGGTGGAATTAAACCAGAGTACCCGGAAAAAAACCTGCGCAAACACAAGAACATGCCAACTCTGCTCAAAAATACAGCAGGTCCAAATCAGGGACTGAACTCAGGAACTTCTTGCAGTGAGGCAAGAGTGCTAATCACTAATCCCTCATGCAGACCAATTAAATATACATCTACTGATTAAATTTAGTCACCCCAGTTCAAGTAGGCTACAACAATAGTCAAAACAAAATATAAACTCAGCTACAAACAGCTTTAGCTCAACATCTGTTAAATGACATTATTTGCAAAACTTGACTAAGAAACTTCTGCAACTTTGTCACTTACCATAAGATGATCATGGTTCGGAACTCTGGAAGTGAGAGGGCGGGCGATATGCATTACCTTCAAGGAATGCTAGGACTTACATTAGCAAATCCATATTAATATAAAACTGTATAACAATATTTCTGGGTGAATATGTAGGCTGATCTCTGCAGTCCATTGGAGCAAACACTTAAGTTTGAAAGTAATACAAATGTTGACACATAATCAAGCAAAGCTCTTATTCATTCAATGGGAACCTAATTTGTTCAAACTCTTTATAAACAGCAAATTCATATGGAAAAGGTTTATCTGTGCCACGCATGTTAAATATAGTCAATATAATTAAACATTTTAACAATAAAGACCATGAACTTCCATAACACTAGACATTTATAACTCTGATCATGAGCAGTGGACAGTCCTGAATACACCCACCTGTGTCTAGACCTCAGGTTCATGTTACAACACTGCAGTCAGGTGCAAACATTTATTAAAGTCAATAAAATTAGAGATGGGTGATTGTATGCCACTGTTGCAAAATGCAGTATTTGTATGTGTAATGGCTACAAGAACTCTTATTTGCATGCCACAACTTGGCCCTGTGTCTCTGACATTGGTATGGGAACGTCAATCGTTATTATGATCTGGTGTGGCAACTTTTATGAAAATAAGTATTTGTTTTCATGATTCAATCTTGTGCAACATTCCAACCATGCATGAAACCTGATCATTCTTTATAGGAGTGATTTTCTTTGGAAGCCTGTGTCTTTATTTTTTGTAAATGTTCCATGGATGAGTCAAGTAAAATCCTTCATCATCAAAAAGAAAAATACAAATAAACTACAATTCACTTTCTAAACTTTAACATAATGCGAGTTGTTTATCCGTACTTTAACTACCCCAGAGTTTGTGTTTAAGACATCAGTTAGTATAAGGACAATTATGCAAAGGACCGCATCATTAAAAACATTGTAGAGGAAGTGCCTAATGTAGTTGACCTAAAGTGGATGCATGCTTCAGTTGTGGATGCAAATAATTTATCGTTGAGAATGCAAAATGCCACTGGATTAATGGATACTGGCAGCAAATGAGAATAGAAAGAAAAGTTTTCACTGGTTTCACTGGAATCACCTGAAGGTGAATTAATGTTAATTAGGGATTTCATGTGCAGGTTAGCCAGGGATAAAACAAATTAGTGTTAAGGAACTCTTCCACAAACGAACGTGCTTGATTAGCTGCGGAGAAATGACAGGAAGAATGTCAAAAAGTCACCCTGATTTTATTTTTCAAAATCAGAAAACATTTAACTGAAGGAAACTTGTGAACAAAAAAGTACACTGTAAACATATCAAATTGGCTCCACGTTCCTTGAAGTGTGGAAGCAACTTGAAAGCAGTTGACATGGTTTGCTAAAGAAAGGCACAACTTGGCAAATGCATATCGATAAGGAATGAACAGCAGGAGCTTACGATGTACTCTGACCAGTCTGAGTTGTGTAAAGTGTCCAGTGATACATTCATTACTTTCCAACTCAGCAGGTTGCGAATGAACATTTCTATAGCATACTCAAAAGTTAAAAAAAGAACAAAAACGTGTGTCAGAAAATATACAGAACATTGCATTGAGTGTAAGGGGTGCTGGGGGAACAACTTAAAAACATGAGGTAGAACTCACCCCTAAACTCATGCACTTTGTGTTTTATAAATAAATCTGCTACAAGCTGAAGTTCACCAAGAAATACATTACAAAAACATTCTTGACAAATGTGAATAATCATGGCAAGACGACAACGTTGACCAAATTGTTCCTTTGTCCTCATTTAGTCTTCACAATAAAAACAGTGAAATGTAAATGAAACTAAAACCAGAAATAAAGTGCAGGCATGAGAACATCAGCAGCTACGTGCTGCTCTGCAAGTGGAAAGTGAAGTTGGTGGGTTAAAAAAAAAACAATCTTCAGTGAACTATGAATATGACAGCTTTGAAATGTACGCCACACTTCACAGAAGAACACACCAAGTTTTCAGTCTGAGTGTAACAACCTAATAGTGCCATAAAATGCAAGTTTAATTTAAGATTAGGCACTTGGTAAAAGGTATGTGTGAACGACTGGATCTTGGCACCAATGTAATAAAATGTTTTATAATCTACATAAGCTAATAAAACTGACTGGGCTGTAGGACTGATTAAATATGAAAAGTAAATAGTATAATCTGATCAAAAGCTCCTTCAATTTAAGAAAAGCTAATGACGTTTACTACTACAACAAAATGTACAATGTCATAAAACATATGGAACACAACAGGAAGAAAAGTAGTCTTTAAGGACAAATACAGTTAACCATAACATTATTTCAGAACACTAAGGTTGTGTCCAGTGGAGTCCATAAAAACTCATGCCCTGAAACCTTTCCTCACAAAGTCATAATCCTTCAGTTATCAAGAAGACATGTCAGAAATAAAGCATTTTCAAGTAAGTTATACATTCAAACTTCTGGATAGACAGCAAAACAAGTAAAGATCACAGGAGAAAATACCCGTATATATGTTTGTATAAAATAAAAGTACAACTACAGTAGTTATAATCAAGTTCAACTAAACTTAAACACTTGAATCACTGAGTTTAGGAGTTTTTAAATGGAGAAAAAACAACTAATCTAGATGGAATTCTTCAAGGTTCTTTCTGAATATCGATTGTACCTCATTCAAAATATGTTGACATTCACAAATTTAAGGAAAAATGCCTAATAGTAAAAAAAAAAAATCTTAATTTACTGCTATTTTACCCTCCTCCATGAAATGTGGGAACTGTGGCTTTGGCACGCTATCAGAGCTACTTTTCTCAATTTCAGCCATTGTAGCAGGCAAGCCAGACTGGGACCCATCAATCTTCAGCAGGCCTCCAGTGGATCCAATAAGTGGCCCACTAGCAGGGCTTCCAGGGAGCGGGATGCCACCTCCCTGAATAACAGAAATTTCATTGGTCTTCATGGTCAGGCCACCACTGAAAGCAGCAGCATACTGGTTCCACAAGGATGGATCAAAGTTAATTGGTGGTGTGCTAAGCTCTTTGGGCGCAGGCATAATTTCTGGCAGCATCTTGGCATCAGAGCTCATTGCCATCAAAGCCATGGGATTATCCAGAGAAAGACGCTGGCCACGGCGTGACGTGTTGTTCCACATGTGAGTGCCAATATGCACCTTTGAGGAGTGAGGAAGATGCATATAGTTATAATCCAAATAAAATAAATATATCTCAATGCAGGTATGATGCACAACCTTTAGCAATACTTACTTTTAAATTTCCCTTTGTGGTGAAAGCCCTGCCACAGATGTTGCAGGCAAAAGGCTTCTCACCTGTATGAGTGCGCTCATGGATCTGCAAGGCGCTGGCAGAGGAGAAGTTCTTGCCACAGGCATTACATGTATGCTGTTTGGTCGACCGGCGTGGTGCAGTGGAGATGGAGGAGGGTAAGGCCGTTCCCTGAGGCATCTGAGAGCTGAACAACCCGTGAGGGCCCAAAGGATTTTCAGTAGTAATCTTCACCTCCAGACTGCCCAGACTTGGAGGAATTTTCATGAATGGTGTGTTGCTAGGACCTGCTGATGTAAGAGGGGAAAAACAAATTATATTTATATGCACACATTTATGATAAAAACGTCTACCATGGGTCTAACAAACATTACACTTACTGTAGTCTCCATTTGTGAATGGTATGCTGGGTTCTTCTTTAACCACTCTGGGAATAAAGCTGCTAGAAGCTGTGAGGTCAAGAGCTCCACTTGACTCGCTGCCATCTTGTACAACATCAGACTCTTGTTTTGACAGACTATGGGCAAATTCATCAACAGCTGACTCGGGGGACTTGATACAAATGTTTACTGGGGAAGATGAGTGAAAGGACATGGCTGAGTCAGAAACAGCAGGACTGCGACCATTCTGGTATTCCTGTTCTCTCTGAGCCAGAGGTGACTCTTTGGATGTTGCGTCGCTCTCTGAAGCAGTGCTACTCTGTCGTTTCAGCACAAGAGCAGAAGTAAGGTTCTTCAGAACATCTAGGCTGGAAAAAGTAGTAGGGGCTGGATGCTTTTGTGGCTGCTCCTCCGAAGTGGATGGGAGGGAACTTGAAGAGTCATTTGTCTTCTGGGAGTTCAACTCTGGCTCACGCTCCTCCACGCATGATTCAAATCTAATGTTATCAATAGGCTTCTCTGCTGGTAGAGGGGGCTCCATTGTTTCTGCTGCCTCAAACTGATTTTCTGGCATCGGTGTGTTGGGAATCTGCCCTCCCATATGCATACGAATGTGCTGCTGCAAAACAACAGCATTTGTAAACTTCTTCTGGCAGATAGGACATGAATGTTGCATTTTAAGAGGAGTGTTGGCTCTGTGCACTCCATAGTGAGCCTTGAGGTTACCCTTTGTGGAGAAAGCACGACCACAGATTTTGCACTTATATGGCCTCTCTCCTGTGTGTGTACGGTAATGCATTTTGAGTGAGCTCTGGCAACTGAGCACCCTGTGGCAAATGACACACTCATTGGGATCATTGGTCCTCTTCTCCAGGCCATCCACCATTTGCTGAAGCTTTGCTGTTCCAGAGCTTGGTTCTCCAGGAAGGGTACTTCCATTTATGTGATGCAGTGCACCAAGCAGTTCTTTAGGATCTTTTGGATTTGGATCCAGCCCCAAATCTTGGCCAAACATAGAGGAAACGGATGGGGAGCCATCACTTGTTGATGGAGAGGGTCTTTGAGAAAACTGATCGCTCCCAATGCTATCAAAAGGTGGTTTGAATCCTTGTATAGACTGTGGGTTGAACCCAGCTGCTTGAGGACCAAGGATAGGCTTACTTTCAGTCATATTAGACTCATCAATAGGAACAGACATACCAAAGGGAATGCCACTGCTGGTGGGAATATTATCAAGATGCTCTGGCACAGGATGAGGATTCATGCTGATGTTAGGATACTTGTCTTTATGCCTCTGAAAATGAACTTTGAGGTTTCCTTTGGTTGTGAAGCGGTTTCCACAGATGTTGCACTTGAAAGGCCTCTCTCCAGTGTGAGAACGCAAATGGATTTGAAGGGCACTGTCATTGCCAAAGGTCTTTCCACAGTATTTACACTTGTGCTTGTACAACGAGTCCCCGTGCTTTGGTTCTGGTGGGAGGGTCAGCATCTTTGCCTTTAACTTTTTAGACGACTCAATCCCTGCTTGGATGCCATTGAAGGTGCTAGGGAAACCCATGACACCTGGAGACTGTGACAGTAATGCTGGCAAACGACCAGCCAGATCTGGAACACCCTTCAGTATGTCTGTTTTAGTAGACATTGGTCCCAGTCCTGCACTGAGAGAGGTAGGAATACCAGTAGGCAAATGTATTTTACCTTGCTTTATTGTCTCCATAGAGAGGCTCTGACTACCAGTTCTTTTGCCTATCAGAGCTGCTGCAGCAGACAGCTGTTGAGAGAGATGTGCACCGAGGGCTTTCAGGGGGTCCACTGCACCCCCTACTGTTGACTGCAGACCTTGTGGGGTCATCATTGCTACCTGAATTCTAATCTGCTCTGTGAGCTGAATTTGCTGTAGCTGCTGTTGTTGAAGGCACACAAGCTGTTCCAGGATGATGGGGATGGCCTGGAGGACATCCTGTGGTGATGTCTGAGGTGCATTTGAAGGATGCCGAGAGACAGCCATTTTAGTGTTAGGCATGGATTCAAGAGTGACATTTGAATCTTGCATTTTGGGTGAAGGCAGGTAAATCATCTCAGGACTAGCAGACATCTCTCTGTGATCATGATGACCCGAGTCCTCTGCATTCATGCTGGACTCCTCTTCTGTTCTTTCGTGTTGATCTGTATTGGAATGACTGCTGGACTGGCTATCATCATGATCACTGTTAAGGCCTTCAGGAGACCCTTGTGAATACTCTTCAGGCACCTCATTACCATCTCCCTCCTTCATGATGACCACTTGCTGATTTTTTGTGCAATTCTTTTCATGCTCAGCAAACTCTGCTTCATCAAAGTATTCTGCACAGCACTTGTTACAGACTCTGGTTTCATCCATCCTTAATCTCTTCACGTCGTTCTCAGTGTCCTCACCTTGATCATCACGAAGAATCCCTTGAATGAGAAAACATAACATTTACATGAATGGTATTTATAAAGTCAGGACTTCTGAAATGCAGGAATGTTTCCATCTTTTAAACAATACTCATTCACTAATACATTAAATAAAAAAAGAAAAAAGGCTTGGTGATCTTGAAGAAATGTGGAATTACCACATAAAGGCGTTCTCTTGTTATTCAATAATGTTTTAGAAGTTTCTTTTTGATTTCTCTCTTTAAGGACAGGTGTTAAAAGTGTGAATTTGCCTTTTTGTCTGCAGAGCCAGCAGAGGGCAATCTATCTTTGAGAAACTCAACATTCCAAAAGAGAAAGAGTAATACATCTAAAATTGCAGCTCTGGAGTTAGAGTACACAAAAAAAACTCCCGAAATTCTGTGTAAAATAAAAACTTTACGTTAAATATATTTTGTAAAAAAACAACTTTTACACTTGTTTTGATGTCCCAAGATCAGCCAAGTCACTAATCTGCATATACAGTTTCATTAACTGAACATTTTCACAGCAGAGAAAGACCGAACCGCTGCAGTCACTTTTTATTCATCCAACCAGAGGCTGGGTCACCATCAGAACAGAACCAGTCTGCATTGGACCATCAAGGGAAAACATGTGGGATGATCTGGACAGGACTGACTTGGGGAAATATGCGCAATGTGACTGAAAAAGCATCAAACCGTGCCATGTATCAAACAGAAACTTATAATGAGCTCATTAATTCATGGTTTCCCACTTGACGGCGCGTGACCTGATGTGATCCCCTTTACAGGATCTGACACGAGGCCAGCCCGAACAGCAGATCTCTGAACACCCACAGCCCAACACCGCTTCATTCAAAGGTTTCATGAAGACCAAACGGAGAAATGTGCAACTTCATCTGGAGCTTGTGTGTGGCAGCACCAAAAAAAGAAAGTAACCCCCACCCAGTCTCCACAAAAAGCCTCCATCCCCCACCGCCCCACGCATGTAGTAAAGGAAACAGTCACGCATTAAACTGGGGATTTATTGCCTTGGTCAGCTTACCCCAGAGTCACGCTGCACTTTTTTGGATAACTTTTTTTAAAAAAAGCTAATTTTGTTTCCAATAAAACCAAATCAAAGTGCTGAATTAAATTAGACACAATTAAAATTTAACTCCATTAAAACGGAGCAGACGAGAATGCACGTGCGGATAAAAGTCTGTTTTAGTCTCAGACGTGAGTTTTGGTGAAACTAAATTCTTTGAGCCACTTTAGAAACGCCTAAAAGTTCAAAGCGCTGGCCGAAACCACTGAGCCAAAGTGTCGCACATTTCAGACACGAAGCCGCAGAAACTAAAGAAGAAGTTCCAACAAGCGGCGGGTCTGAAGGAAGCACAGCTCCAAGATGTCGCCGAGCACCTGTGTTTGTTTGTGTCCGTCTCCAAACCGTTCTGTCCTCTCAGGGCTGCGGCTGGTCCAGGCTAACCGCGGCCAGCAGCAGGTCAAAGTGCGACAGAACCAGCACAAATCACCACTCCTTCCAGTTTCAAACGGAGAACAAGGCACGCGTGTTTTGGGGGAACGGTTCCCAGGTTCCCAGCTCGGCTGCGCGTGGAGGAACTCACCCGTGGGCTCGGCGCCGGGCTCGTCAGAGTTGATGTGCTGCGGCTTGGACTGCTTGCGCCTCGACATGGTGCAACCATCCGGAGCAAAGAGGCGCAGGAAAACTTCCTCCCCTTCTTCAACAAATCCTTCGTCTTGGAAAATTAGCCCCTGGAGTGGAAATGCGCATGTCACCGTAATTATTATTATCAATAATGCATTGCGATTTATCACGAGCCCCCGACAGCTGATTGGCTCCAGTCCAAGCGCTCGCGTATTATTCAAATGCGCCGCCGCCTATTGATGAGCCGCGCGGCGCGAGGCTGCGGGAGGAGCCGGGATGGAGGCTGGCTCAGAACCTCCAGCTCCTCCGTCCTGCTCCTGCAGGAGAAACACACTACTGTAACACGAGGCGACACTCCGAGCGGCCGGAGCTCACTCAGTGTCACTGTAAAAACACAAGCACCTCCATCATGGCTGCGAGTCCCCGAGCTGCTCTGTAAGTGTGTCAGCTGTAGAGGAACATCCAGCCATTTCTTTATGGGTTTCAATCAAATCTGACCAGTATGACACATTTTGCTAACACAGACAAACACACAAACTTATTTTTTGTGTGTCTAAACTTTGAATACTGGAATAACACAAAGATGGACGCAAAGGTGTTGAGTTGTGTCTACTACCTATAATATTTACAGTCATTGCAGTCTCTTCTCTACTGATGTGTTAGGATGTAAAAATTCTGGCATAAAAGAATGAGAATCTGAAGATGTAGATTATGCGGTAACAACAAGGAAGTTGTGTGTTTTTGACAAAAGTATGATCTTCCTTTTTTTTACTAAACACAAGAGAAAGTAACTATAGGTGACATTTGGCCACCAGGGCCTGTTTCCCCTGTTATTACTACTGTAACAGACGTTTTTCTTCAAAATATAATTTTCCAAAAGAACTGAGTGGAGATGATGGGGATTAATTCACCCTTTATTTATAAGGTTAGTCGTATTAAGGACTCCTTTACAAGAGAGACCTGTAAATCATGTGAATCAGAGCTTGATGTGAGTACACAACTCAACACATGGGCCTGCACACAAGGTGCGAACACTGAGTCAGCATCCACACTTCACTTGTTCTGTCTGTGCGTTCACACGTTGAAATCAAGGTATTCTACTTTGTTCTACTCAAATATAAAAATGTTCAGTCCAATCAAGACTCAAGTGTTACAACTTTTCGTATTTGTGAATGTTATACTTTTCAAAAACTTTTTTTAACAAAAAAATCCCATACAAATTAATTGAGATATTTGCAATTTTTTTCAAAACACTGTTTTATTTGAAATCTACTTAAGCAATCATGCTTTATTTTTGTTTTCTTAAGCTCATTTGAGCTACAATTTAGCTTATTTTAGCTTGTAGCCACAGCTGAACTAGTGTGAGACTGAAGCTAAAGTTTTTGTAATCTTATTTCTATCTACAGTTTAGCTTAGCCTTTAGCTGCAATTTTGCTTGTTTAAGCTTTTAGGCAAAGTTTTAGCTTTTAGCTACTCATTTGCAAATTTTAACTTTAACTATCGGTAACTTTATTTTGTAGCTATGTTTGCTAACTTTAGCTTAGTTTAACTAGTTTTAGATTGTAGCTTCAGTTTTGTTAATCTTGGTTTCTAGCTACAATCTACCCACGTCTTAGCCAAAATTTTGCTGCAAATAGGGATGAGTCAACTTTTAGCTTTTTGCCACTCATTTGCTAATTTAGGATTTTAGCTACAATTTAGTCAACTTTTGGTTGTGACTACAAGTTTGCTAACTTTAGCTTGTAGGACAGTTTAGCTAATTTAATTCAGTTTTTCTTGTTTTAACAAACAATACAGTTTTAGCTGCTTTTTCACAAAAAATGCTAATTTCCCTGTTTGAATAAACCAAGATCAATCTTCCACAGAGCAGAAAATATGTAAAATAAAATGAACGTGACTCAAAACAAATCACTAGTTGAGTATTTTTGTCTTGACAAACAGATGCGCTTTATCTTCTCCTGAATGGAGCCTGCCGTTGTGTACCAAGTTGACTAGAAGTAATTTTTCATTTCCAGAGACACATTCATTATTTAAAGGCGTCATGTGATAATATGGTGGCTTCCCATGTCAATGCCATATGTCTTCCAAACATATTTTAATCCCTTTTATAATAACAAAATGGTAAAATAAGAGGTTGATATATTCATCAGGATGCTGGTAGAATTTGTTCGGTCCATTTTTACATTGTAGGCAAAATTTGGAGGAAGTTCACAGCCTGTCACTAGGGAGTGAATAAAGAGATTAACATAACTTATTTCCATCCATCCATCCATCCATCCATCCATCCATCCATCCATCCATCC